CCTCTTGTACTCGCCGTAGTGTACACAACTGCAGCTATTGCTTCCCTGAGATTCGAGCTCGATGGGCGTGGGCATACACAGTTCACATCAAGTTGCAGGTCTGGGTGATCAGCCTAGACTATGGTAGGTCTGATGGGATTGCTATTGTTCCAGTCAAGCAAGAAAGCTGACGAAAAACGTTGTGCGTTGACGACAGAACTCGCTGCTCAGTCCCGTATAATCGCGTGATTGACTTCGCATGGCTCGAGTGCCCAAAAGAACACCAGCCGACATCTGAACCCCTTCGAATCCCCACCCTCGAAAGACCAGAGCACAAAGCCAGCACAGTTCTGATGAAACAGCTCCACTTGGCCCGGATTGAACGCACAAGTAGCCCACGAACCTGCCACGAATGACTGGCTGATCCAGGATCCTGCATGGCGACCGAGAGTTTTCTCGGATTTCTGAATTATAGGGTCTGATTGAAACGACATCGGGAGGTGGGTGGTTCTGGGCTCCCGTGTGGTTCTACACACCGTGCAAACTCCAAGTCTGGGTTCAAGACACCCGCAAACGGCTCTGCAAAACCACCAGCGGACAAACGTCGCATGCAGCTTTCGAATGCCTCAAGCTGGGTCCTGCTAGTACAACCAGTTCTTCATCTACGAGTCCAGGAATTGTTGCAATCTACGTCCTAAACCCGAACCCCTGTCAAAACACCTTGGAGATTCATGGTACTTAGTAACCCAATCATATTTGTACTTGTATAGCCCAACTTTAACCCGAGTTTGGTACTCAAGAGGCTTAGAAGTGGGTTATAATTATAAAGTACCCTAATCCCTAAACAACCCTAAACGACCCTAAACCCCAACCCCCAAACCCCAAACCCCAAACCCCAAACCCTAAACCCTAAACCCTAAACCCTAAACCCTAAACCCTAAACCGCCGAAAGGCCGCACAACGGCGACCGGCTCAGCGCCGGGCCGCCGAAGAGTGCGAGGAGGAGGCCCGCTATGAGACCCCGCGGCCGGCGAGGAGCCATGGTCCCTGCTTCGGTTTAGGGTTTAGGGTTTAGGGTTTAGGGTTTAAGGGTTTAAGGGTTAAGGGTTAAGGGTTAAGGGTTTAGGGTTTAGGGTTTAGGGTTTCGGGTTTCGGGTTTAGGGTTTAGGGTTAGAATTCTTAAGGGTGCCAAGGTGTAAGCTGTCCCTGTTCACCCCCCTCCCCCGCCCCCTTGCCCTCGCTCAACGGGCCACGGGTTTAATATGACTTTCCGAAGGAGGAGATTATTCACATTCAACAGGGGTTAGATAAGAACAGGGGCTGAAGGCTTAGGAGGCTTAGGAGTCATCGAAATCCAGCGCGGGCCCGGGCCCAGGACATTAAAGCGGGTACCGAAACAAACAAGGCCCATGATCGGAGGTTAGGCTGGATCCTGGACCACCCCTTTGCCGGATGGATCATGCCAAATTCGGTTTTAAGACGGGTTTTCTTGGTATTGGCTCAGTTGGGGGGATTCCGCGTTTTCGGGGTCTGGAAAGGAGGCCTGCCAATAAGATTAAAAGGAGGTTAGGCTGGCCGGATTGATGGAGACTTTTTATATGGCTGTTCAATGGGAACTCTTTTAGGGTTTGGGGTTTAGGGCTAGTTGGGATGTCGGGTTTTCGGGTCTGGAAAGCAGGCTGGCCTTTAAGATTGACAGGACTTTGCACAGGACCCCAATCTGGATCCCCAAGCAGTCGGAGGGCAGCCCGGCAAATTTGACTTTAAACCGGGGGCCCCCGCTAAAGCGCGCAGGTTCAGCACCTACAACCTGACGTATAGTGAGGCGCGCGGAGCGCCGCGTGCAATCCGCAAGCTTTTAGGATTTCCAGCGGCTTTTCCATGCGGGCGATTCATTTGGGCGTTGATTTGAGCAGAAGCCGGTCTTACTTTGGTAGTGGAAAACGCAGGAGACGTCGACCCCAATCTGACGGAAGCCGCAACGCAGCCCCGGCGGAACCATCTCCCGCCGCTGCTCCGCAAATTGCCGTACTCATCATGAAACTCCTATATGAGTTTCCGAGGAATGGATCACATGTACATACAACAGAAGGTGAGTCGCAAGCACCAAAACGCAACAATCACAGAGCGTCGCGTAGGGCGCTGAGAAGGCACCGAACTCAAACATCCTACGTCACAAGTAAGAGCAGATTGCAGCACTGGTACACAAAACAAAATGGCTGTTGCGTGGCTTGTTCGTATACGCCCGGGCCATCAGGTCACCTGGAGGAGCGGTTCTGCGACGCTCTACGCCTTCGTCCTTGTCTCGAGTTCACGATGCAGAGATCTTGATGCTGTGAACATCCGGGGCTAACTCGAACTTGACACAAACCACAAAACAGTGCGCGTGAGTGACGAGGATGTTGTGCGCTGCAGTTCTAGAAGCTTTCAGACATTGTTTCAATTGGCTATAGTCAGCGAACCCCAAGTGCCCCCAACTTCCAAGACCGCAAAATAGCCGTTGTGTTGAATACGGTTTTACAAGACTGCCCAACATTTGGGACACTTGCAGGCACTTACAGGCGATAGAACGGCGGATTTTGGAAAGAAGTTTCTGTGAGCAGTGTAGCAGGCAACTTATTTTGAGGTGAGCTTGATAAATGACGGGCAGGGCATGGGGCCGGGGCGCGGAAGTACATTCCACAATGGCCTATTGAATCCGAGCTTTTCTCCTGGCCACTCAGGCGGATACCCTGACCATAGCCCGCGATATCAAATCTTACACGAAGACCCAACAAGGACCCCATCATTCAGATCACCATTTCTGGGTATTTTCCCAAAATAGGGGTACCCCTTTCATACCCCAATAGGATAGAATCCCCTTCAAGGGACCCCTACCCCTTTCTTCGGAAACCCTTACTATCTGGCTCTTCTCGCCTGGGATTTCGGCTGCGCAGGGGCTTCTGCGATTGGCATTATCGGCATTATCTTGCATAGGGGGTTCCCCTACTACACCCCTCTCTACTTCCCGCCCCAGGTTCCCGCCTTAAATCACCTTGATTAGGCTTAATTCTGGGGGGGGGGTGGGTAGTAGGGGAACCCATGATTGCATTTACGGACGAGTGTCGTTCGATGGGATGGTGGGCCACAGCCCCGAAGTCAGTCATGCGCTAAGAGCCCTCAATGCCCCCGAGCGCCCTAAACTGCACCAGGAGTGTCTTCCTTCGTCATGGTAAAGTCTCATACACCAGGAGGGCTTAGGGCTTACCCAAAGGCTCCCATGTAGTTCCTTTTTTCTAGGTAGGGTTTAGGAATTTGGGATGTGCAATGGTTCATGGGCTTGGGGACCCGAATTCCCTAAACCCTGAGTCCTAGACTCTGGATCCTAAACCCTAATCCTAAACCCTGTAGAACCCTAAAAACCCTAACACCTAAATTTCCTGAAAAAAGGCCTCTGGGTTGCTACGCTGGGCTTGGCACGGGTTTAGGCCTGAATCTGCAGGGATGCGACGCTCGAAGCCTCGAAGCCTCCTTCCCTACCACCCCAAAAGCCGTCCAGCATACATATATGTATATGTATACCTACATATTATATATATATACATATATATATATATATTATATTGAGAATAAATACATACATACCCTTAGCCCACCACCCCCTAAAAACCCTAGACCCTCTACCCATCCGGCTCCTGCGTACCGGGTCCGCCACGTGCAGGTGGCCGGGTGACCCCCCCAAAAGTGGGAGCCGAGCGCTTCGGGCGGCGAAGGCTTGGCAGCTTGGGTAGTAAGTAGAGGCTAGGCTTCATGCAGGGTTTAGGGTTTAGGGTGTAGGTTCTTGGGGGTAGGCTGATTGGGTCTAAGACTTCTCTAGTGTAGAAACTAGAAGAGTTTGGTTTTTGTAGGGCTTCAGGTTGAGCTAAGTTCAGGGACCCACAGAGAGGGTCTGGAACGTCGGCTTTGGATGATGCGCTCGAGGCCGTGTTTGTATCCCCGGCCAAAACTGTACCTGAACCAGAAATCCCGACACCAACATAGTTGAGGTGCACCAGAGTATGTGTGCTTCGTTTCGCATACCGTTGCGTGTCCTTCTGCAAGTAGTAGTCCAAGGAGCGGAGGTATTTGTTGTGCGCGCTCATCACCTGTTGACAGGGCTGCCGGCTTCTCCCTTATCACTTCATGACCTGAACCAGCATAGTCAGTTCCCCAGAAACTGGTCATATATGAGAAAGAAGGGCCTGGCGGCCTTGCCAGGGTGCTAGGGTTTAGGGTTTAGGGTTTAGGGTTTAGGGTTTAGGGTTTAGGGCTACTCTCTCCGGGCTTGTGGCGAAGGCTTGATTTTTCAACCACGGTGCAGTGCCTGCGGGGAAAAGCGACTCTACTACGGGGCCACTGGCGCTTTCGCCCAAAGCCCCGTACTCTGAGCCCAAGGATGACCCACATATATATATATATATACACATAGGTGTATATACTCTTAGCCCAAGATATGTATATATATATATATATATAGATGTATATATAAATATAAAAAAATAAATAAATAAATAAATAAATAAATAAATAAATAAATAAATAAATAAATAAATAAATATATATGTGGATTTAGGATACAGGGATGCTTCGGGTGCAGGGTGTCGGGTTGACGCTTCGCTTGGCACAGTGGAAGGGTGAAACGACATGGTCCCAGTACGAGAACGAGTGGTGAAACCTGGCGTGCAGGTACTAATTCGGGTCTCTAGCTTGGCTACTGGGGGCAGAGGCGAGCACAAAGGCGGTGCAAAATGTGGTACTCTTCGAATGCCTAGGGGCTGAATGCTTTTCGGGCGATACTGTATCACTGGTATTTCATGCCGCCCTCCTGAGATGAATGTTCACCCCTCAACCCCAACGCCTAAAAACATCGAGAATACAAGGTACTGCTTACAGAAATCTTGTCGAACCTACTTTGTAGCGATACATGGTGACATGGTGTTGCATGTTTGCGAAAGGAAGGCGTCAGAACTGCGGCGCATCAGCTCGGTAGCGCAGATCTCGTCTCACCTCAAGCAGCCGCAGGTCCCTCGACCCTATCAACACTACACCATGTACCCTAAGGAGTAATCAACATGAAGCTGGGAAACGAAAAAAAACAGAAAAAGTTTGAGGTCAGACAATTTCGAAGATGTTTTCAAGCGTATTGCTAAGCATGCGCGCTCACATCTGGACAAGGCGTGCGGCTGGAAAAGCGCCGCGAATTCACGGTAGTCCAGCTTCTGATCCTTGTCCTTGTCAAGCTCCTCCGATAGACTACAGTAGTATATTGGGGGGCCATAATTACACAGAGACCATAAGGGAATGCCATTCTGAGCTCTTTTGTATGTTGAGAGCTTAGGAGATTGCATGTATTCCGTCTGCGGATGCCGGCCAGTCGGTAATCTGAGTAGTGGGGTAGTGCCATCCATGTAGTAGATTGCTACATTGTCGTCGCACTTGCGGTGCAACAGATTTCTGGCATGTCCATGACTAAGATCCAGGTTGCATGCCAAATGGACCCAAGCTGGCTCGCAAGACCTCTCCTCGATCAGTCGCTCGATCTTGATGGTCATGCCAAATTCATCCTGCAACGCTGGGCTTACAGCCCTTCAGGCTTAAGGGGAGCTTTCCCCTTGCCATCATGGCGGATATTCCTGCAGTCGAGAATCCGAGCATCCGGACCCGCCATGCTGACAGACTAACGACCGAAGGCAGCATGTCATGAAACTTCGTTTCACAAACCACTGCAGGCCACCATCACAAGAAGATGCATTCTTGGCACAGTAATTGCGCTGTCATGGACCTAGCGCACACGCACAAAGACTTGATGTCAAAAAAGACACCAAGAAATTTCGCCGAGGCGCCAGAATCCTGGCGTCTGGGCGTCAAATGTTTCTGTTGACGAACTTTTATGCGGGGAGGAACTGCCATGTGAGATCGCAGGGCGTGCAGCGTTGTGGCACTAGAACGCGCCGATGGACAGAAGTCGCGCAACATCAGCTGAAGCTGAAGGATCCAACATAATCAAGATTGTTCACATGCACGAGAGCGGAGAAACACTGCCGTCTGTTCAAACAACTGCTGAGTTTTCTGCAAGAAGAACAGCTTTTCCTCATGGTTTTGCCCTCAGAGGAACAGAAGGTTTGTGAGGCCCCCCCCCTCTGAGCCATCGCCTATAGGAGCACGAGGTACTGTCCGTCGGGCCCGCGACATGAGCTGTGGACATCACTCATGCTTCTCGATTGTTGATCTTCTTCAAGTCTAAGATTCTGCTCCTTTGATCCAGTCCCAGTGGCGAAACTTAGACAGTTAGCAGCCCAACGCAAGCATGAGCCCCTCTCGACAGGTCAAGGAAAAGGCAGCTGATACAAGCGACACCGCAGCCAGTTCGGGCCTTCACGACCTGAATCAACCGCTGCGTGTCAATGTAGCCTGTCCTGGCATTCTGGGGTTCTCAGCCTTCCAGCGGCTAGCCTGAGACACTTTAGGTTCGTGTTGCGCTGTACCTGCGGGCCTACCGACACAAATAAGAAATTACAGGGTTCTGAAGGGAGGGGGGTAGGTACCTAGGGAACCTTCGGGAAGCTTAGGGAGCCTTGGGGAGTAGTGGGGAGTATTCGGGAACCTTGGGTTACATACCCCCCTTGAACCCCCCTCCAATTGAACCCGATAAAGAAAGGGCTCACAGTAGGTAGCTTGAGAATCGCCTATAAGACGCCCTGAAGGAAACGCAGCTGGGCCGACTTATCTGGCTCGCCCCCGAGTGCCACGAAGGCATCGATGGTGTCCAGCTCGTCCTCGAGCTCCTGTGCTAGGGGAATAGGAGTTGGGCGATTTGGGGTTGCATACACATTGTGTATACATGTATATATATATATATATATTAAATATATAATTCTATATTTACATATATGTATTGTACTATTTATCTATCAAACTAGGTGTCTGTTGGCCTTCATCTGGCTTCCGAGGGGCTGGATACTCAACCGCTGGCACCTCAAGTCTAGTGAAACCATAGAGTCAACCCGAAACTCTGAACCCTAAACCCTGAATCCCTGAATCCGAAACTCTGAACCCTGACCCGACAGATCAGTCACTTGGGACGGTCCTGTGCCCCCCCTCGCTGCTTCTCAAAGGCGCGCAGGAACTCTGCGAACTCGATCTCGCCTGTCCTGGGTCAGGGTTTAGGGTTTAGGGTTTAGGGTTTAGGGTTTAGGGTTTAGGGTTTAGGGTTTAGGGTTTAGGGTTTAGGGTTTAGGGTTTAGGGCCTAGGGTTTAGGGTTTAGGGTTTGGCCATGTTGATCGTTGGGCTGGGCTTTCGGGCCTTAGGGAGCTTCAGTCTGCATTGGGCTCTGTTGCTGACCCTCGGGCGCGCACCCGTCTTCATCCACGTCTGCCATGAAGCGGAAGAGCTCCTCTTCGCTTGGCGCCTGGGGTGCCATGCTCGGGTTAGGGCTTATCCCCGCCCCCTAATATTAAACCCCCCCCCTACCCCCCTAATATAAAATACCCCCCCCCCCCCCCCGTATAGCTAATATTGATTACCCTCAAGCGCAGAATACAACACATCTGCAGAGCTCAATGGCAATAGCAGGAGATCCCAACATTGGGTGCACATAGAGTCACAGCAGAACAATATTGTGGCAGCAGTTCAGCATCACGGAAGCAGCCGCACCGCGCAACACACAAGCGGGGGCAGACAGGGTGACACCTGCCATGCCGATGTGATGACAACAACGGGGACCTCACCTCACCGATGGCTTCCAGCAGGAGCTTCATCTCCTGTGGCATCGACGAGGCACAAGGTCTGATGGGGGGGGGGGGGGGGAGTGGTGAGTGTAGATACCTACATATATGTATTTATGTATATGTATATGTTCTATCGAATTTGAATTTGATTCAGACATGTTAGGCTGTAGCGTGCTACATAGTAATGAATTTCATGAGTTACAATGTGATTTGTAACATATAATACAATACAATACAATATGCAAAAATGATATGATATATACGCATATATGATAGTAATAGTAGTGACAAGACTAGTAGTCATTAAACTGTAGCTATGATATGTACAAAATATACATGTGAAAATACATATATATATATGTTATTTGTATTTCGAAAAACAACAATCAACACACCTTCTTCCACATATTCGATTGAAATCGACTAGTTGGTATAGACGTAGCCTCAACGTTTGGTTATGGAATGGGGATATGCTCAATAATAAGATGCATTTTGCGATGTGTTGCTTGCTTGGTCATGGCACGGGGTTTGTGCTGCGAACAAAACACAATATGTGATGTGTGCTATGCGTACAAAGCAGCATTTGGCACAAGTGTGTGTACTAGATTCTTGGATTTTCACTCGGAACTATATACAGAATATTCATAACCTACAAATACACCCAAACATAGACTTGCAGTACGTCGGTCTGGAACGCCGATCATGAGGCTACGACATGTATAATGTATCACCGTCCAATTTACTGATACAAGGTCTGCAACATCATACCAAGATAAAGCTATAATGTAGTTCAAGATCATTTGGAGCAAATCAATTTACCAAATGGGATACTACCAACAATAACCAAAGAATAAAAGCACATGTAACACAGTACAGCCTCGGCCCTCCATGAGCGTGCCATGCCTGGGTATCGATGGTGCCGCTGCCATCTTGGTCGAAGGTGTTGAAGGCCTTTGTTCAGGGCTCAGGAGTTTGCGGGCTTAGGATTCCACCGACGTATGGCATCTTACAGTCTTACAGCCACATGGCCACCAGCTGCTACAGCTGGCTGCGCCATGGTGTGTACAGAACCCAAAGAGCACTTCGCAAGCCGGGTTTACCCTAAACCCTAAACCCTAAAACCTAAACCCTTTGCAGAGGATCTTGGAATCGGTGCACAAACTGAGCGAAAGTGCATGTCTTGAACCCTGAGATCTCGAGCTCTGTCTAAAACTTGCGGTTTAGGTTTTAGGGTTTAGGGTTTAGGGTTTAGGGTTAGGGACTTATTGCTTAGGGTTTAGGGTTTAGGGTGGCTTGGGCACAACTTCTCAGAACCTTGGGGCTGAATTTACTGGCATCGGGCTTCCGCATGCCCCAGTGTCCATTTTTCGAGAGGGCGTGGGAAGCGCCGGCATACTTGCTTCAGGGCTGATGATTGAGAACCAAATGAACCCTAAAAGGGTTTATGGTTCGTATACCGCAATAAGGATTCTAGTGGTATAGGGTATACGGTCCCAAGTTTAGGGTTCATGTCTGAGATTGTTGCAGGTCGGCTGGCTTCAGAAATGGAGGTGTTTGGGGTCTAACGAGTCCAACACATACCATCTGACCAAGTAAGCCGAGGAATCCCGCGAAGCAGCCTGGAACCCTCCGCTCCCAATCGCCCATCTACCTCCCGGCATTTCTGGATGAACTGCTCATCGAGCACCATGTCTCCTCTGCCAGCTGAGAATTAGAGTGGGGGATTCACTTAGGCGAACACCTGAGAAAGCCCCAAGCATCCCGAAAGCCCTTCGCCGAGAGGGGCCCAAGGACTCTTCTCTTCAGGGCATCCGGGATGTTTAGGATTTAGGGTTTAGGGTGTAGGGAGGGTGTAGGGTATGTTGGAGTAGTTGATTCCGCCTAACACGGGGCAGGATTCTCATTCTGAAGCCTTGGAGGTCTGATATCCGTCCAGCCCTCCGGGGTCACGTGTGTGCATCCATGCCCGGCAGCCGACTTCAACTGGCAAAACGTCGGACTTGGTGGTGGATCTCAAGATCCTTCTTGGGAAATGATTATGGTTCCTGGTTTTGTTTCCGAGGAATGTAGGGTTATTTGGGGTGCAGGTATGTTGATCAGCTACCATCTCCCTTTCTTGGCCTGGCAGTCTGTTGTTTGAAGAAGCTGGGGACTGCGCAAGGAGCAGCTTAACCGAGCGAAGTGTCCGCAGTGCTGAAGGCCGCCCAACGTCTCACTGGCGCCAAAAGAGTGAGTGGGCCCTTCATGTGACAGCCACGTCTGCCGGGTTAGGGTTTAGGCTAAACAAACGGTTCAGGGTTTCGGGTTTCATCAAACCTTCTTGCTGAGAGCCTCAACCTTCAAGACTCTTTGGGGTGGCATTTGCCAGAGGCTTTCTTACTGGACCCCTTGTTTAATGGTACTGGGCCATTGGGAAAAGGGCATCCGATCCCTCACGAGCCCGCCAGATTGCGAACATGGGGCTGAATACCCTAGCCCCAAAAAGGTTAACCTCTTGTTTGTAGTAGGAATATATATATATCGCCACAAGGTTGAAGGTTAACTACCCAGCCCCTTGGAAATCTTGTGCCCCGGGCAAGTAACGACCAGAAGGCTGCGGCCCATTTCGTTGAAATCAGGGTTCATACAGCCCTAAACCCTAAACCCTAAACCCTAAACCCTAAACCCTAAACCCTAAACATCTCGAGACACGACGCTCTCGCGGCTCCTGCTCCGGACGGCTCTTGGTCGTAGATGTGGGGACAGCCGCTGCTACATCAGAAGCTCAAACGGCTCGGGAACAGCATGCGGTTTAGAGTTTAGGGTTTAGGGTTTTGACCATCTGACCCGAAACTGCCTGAAATGATAGTTCGAGACAGGGGGGCTCTTGTTTGCTTGCAGCTCTGGGATATCCTATGCCTTCCCCACAAGCCAGGACCCTGTAGGTCCTGCCCAGACACAAGTGAACCTGGGTTTTTTTTGGAGCTTCGGACCTTCCTTCTGAAGGTTCTCAAAGTCGGGGGATCGGACCAGACCACCCCCCTAAAGAACAGTAGTAATCATAAGTGTGTATATATATATATAAGTAAATGAATATATATATATATATATATACATATATTTTAGATATATCCATAAAAACATGCCTACATTATGGCCCTCCACTCCCTTGATTCTCGGCACCTGCTCCCGGCACTTTGCGAGAGCTTCCTCGTAGAAGGGCTGGAAAGTTTGGAGTGCCTCCGAACTCTGTTGCAGGGTTTCGGGGTTCAGGGTTCAGGTTGAGGGTTTGAGGGTTTAGGGTTGTGGGTTTTGGCGTTTTAGGCTTCACACCAAAATTCGGGACTGATTTGAATGTGGAGATCCCATTAGTAACGTGGTTCGCAAAAATGCGAAATCTTGCTCGATAAAATCGAAAACTAGCCTGGAAAAGTACCCCCTCCCACCCACCTCCCCCAAACAATTCAGCTTGAGGAAAGCAAAAGCTAAAACGAAAAGCTGGACTCCGGAAGAGGATCAACAGAGAGAGCAGAGTGAGCAGAGGGAGCCAGGGTTTACCTGCCTTAGCACCCTTAAGGCCTCTAATTCGGGCCGAGGGCTTAGGGTTGAAGTTAACAAACAACTTTGACCTTGACATCCCCCAAAAAACTTTTCTCAAACTTCACGCAGGGGGCCCCAAAAGCCACCCTATCTATTTGAAAGTTGTTTTGGGACTTCTGTAATCGGAACACCACATTAGGGTTATGGGTTTCGGGGGTAGGGGTTATTCCTTACGCCCTACAGCCTGCAGTCTGGAGATGGGATGGCCAGGGACCGTAACTGCAGCGCAGCAGGAATTCGGCAAATCCTGCTTCAATCGGAATCACCGAACGGAAAGCTACACCTCTTTCTGGCATAGCTGCCTTCTTCGGACAGCAGGAGCATGTCCTGCAGCCCTAAAGCAGCATGCCTCTTTGCCTGTCATTTGCAGGTGTTGCGTGGAAGGAATGCGGCAGAGCCTGCTTGAAAAAAGCTCCATCGAACGGAACCCACGCGGGCGCTATAGCACCACTTTGCGTTGTGGCAGGATCATCTAGTCCAGACACTACCACATTGCCAGCTGTGCTCAAAGTTGTTCTCATACCTGACTCTAGTGCGACAGGAATTCGGCCAAGCCCGTCATGAGATCAGCTTCACCGAACGGAAGTTCACACGACTTCATTGTGGCATTCCTGCAGGGCACGCAGGTAAGCAGGGCGCTACCTTGCCTCTTCAGCGAATGCCTCGAATGGCCTCAGAAGCCTGTCGCATGGAAGGAATTCGGCTGGGCTTCGAAAGAGTCCGGCCCAGCCGAACGGAATCCACACAGCCGTCTGGCATCCGGCGTCGGCGCGACCGGCAAGACATGCCAACAAGCGCCTTCTTGTGGCTGAATGCTTTGCTGGGTTGGCCTCTAGTCCCGTTGAACAAATGTGTATATGTAGGGTCCCTGTTCAGTTGCCACTCCTTGACTCAATGGCTGTAGTAGAGCCGACTGGGCTGTCATGCGGAAGGAATTCGGCAGAGCCGGAGTGGGTCCGCTCCCCCGAACGGAAATCCGCAAGGCTCTGTTTTCTGGCAGTCCCTGGGTCAGTGGCTCAAGAGGAATTCGGGTGTCCACAGACACTCTGAAGGATGCCAGGACGGACACAGAGAAACAGCCGCATCAGTCATCCCCAACATGTCCAGGTGGGTCTGACTGTCAGTTCACCAAAACAAGGGAGGAGTCGGACAAGAGCCGAGCATCTTTAGACCATCTGGGTAGAGTGGAATTGCCCGAAGCCCTCTGATTAAATCCCTCGGGACCCCCTGCTCGTTGAGGTGCATTTCAAGAGACCACAGTTTAGGCGCTGGGTTGAAGTGGTATACCAGGACGGGCTATTATACCGTATAGCCTCCCTTAAACGGCCCTTTATAGGGTTGATTATGGGGATGATAGGGCCAAATAACACATCCTGGTAGGGGCTTAGGCATGTTGAGGCCTCTCGTGCCAGAAGCTCGAAGTACTTCTGGTGCAGCTCGGAGGAGTCCGGCCCATCAAATGT